TAAGAAAAAAAGTTTATTTTTTACATCAATCTATAAAATACTAATTTCCATTAGGATCGCGTATCGCTATATGTATGCGGAGCTAAATTACTTTTATTTTATTTTTTTTTGTCATTTGGGATGATGGTGGTATTGAATTTAAATTTGAGATAAAACTTTTTTTTTTTTTATCAAAATACTCTTTTATTTAAAAACTGAAACGTAATATATGTACAGTTGCGTCAGAACCGATTAAAAGACTTCCTAGATTTAAGATGCAATAACCGTTTAATTACAAAAGTTGAAGAAAATTTTATTTATATTTTATTTTGTTTTTATTATAAAAAATTTTTCAATATTAAAAATTGAAATATCATTTTAATGTTATAAATTGTGTTTTCGAGTAATGATTCCTTACTTTTTTAGTTATAAAATTTATAAAAAAATTTTTAACTGTATAATTTCAAATCGGGCGTTACATATTGACGTAATGGTACAAGGAATTTTATAATTTTTCTAACTATCTAAAAACATACTGTAAATCATAATAAATTGAAGATAATTAGAGTTTTAGAAAAGAAAAGCAAAGTGCTAGAAAATCTTGTAGTAACGTTTTTCTCATTCATATTGAATAAATGCTTTAAACATCGTTAAGTTGAGTTTGTTGAAGTACTTGTTCAAAAGAAATGTTTTTACGAAGTTCATAATATTTTTTTCAGTAAACTTTAGAACAAATCATCCACGTATTCCTTTAAGATGTGAAAATTTAAAAAAAAAATTTCATTGTAACGCATTCCTGCATATTTCTTCATGATGACGACGCCATTTTATGCAAATATCAAGCGAAAATTGTATAGCTACTATTACTTCCAACAACAAGTTTTATATATATTTTTTTGCACAAACAAGTAGATTTATTAATAAGAAATGATAGTTTCTGTATACGTTGCGCGTCAGATGTCGATTTGAGCAGTTGACGTGCGTCATTTGACTAATGCTGGCCAAACCTTCTTAAGGCATTATAAGATCAGCCCAAAATGTGCCCATAATTTAGGCCAGTTTGCATCTGACGCAAAATTATAGTTAACGCACAACATATACACGGAAACATTCTATGATAATTGTTATTTGTAAGTGGTATAACAATAAAAATAAAAAAAAAAACTAAAATAAAAATTCATGAGAGAGGAAGATAGAAAAATATCTTTCTTTTAGTACTTAATTCTGGCCGGAATTAAAAGAACTTCCTCCTTGTTGAGGTTGATGAACTGTTGTATTTGGTTGAAAAGTATTAATCATATTCGAATTAGAACTACCAATACTGTTGGAGACCAAATTATCGGTAAGGAATTGTCTCAAATGGAACTCAAGATTTTCTTTGTGTCTATTAGAAAAATCCAAGGGTGATTGTTGTTGCAGTTCGCTTTGTCTTAAACCTAAAATATTTAAGTTTAAATATTGAACTATATTTGAGTGTGAAATCATTTCACAGGCAACTTTATAAATTCTTTGATCATTAGGATGTTGAAAATAAAATTCAAAAAGATTGTTTGAGCAACGACGGTTACTAGATGGGTATAAGTTATTAATTAATAATTGAGAGATGAGTTCATTAAAGGTTATCTCTTTATAAGTAATGAGATAAATTTGAACATCGTTGTTAGGTCTGTAATAGAATGACCATTCAGGTTCTTGAGAAGGAGACTGAGTATTTTGAGTAGATTGTAAAGATTGATTGTCGTTATTAACTGACATGTTATTTGAAGACGCAGGGGAGTATGAGAAATAATTTCGCTAGAAGTTGCGGTGGTTCGTTACTGTCTTGAGGATTGTACGAAATAGACATTAAATAAATGCTAAAATTTGACCTTGCTATGTTGTGGTGTTTGAATCTATACGCCAATATATATATTATGAAAATTGCAAAGAGAAAGAAAGTAATAGATTATTGTTGCGCCACAATAAGTTAAGTTTGGATTTTTTAATATCGATTTTTGTTTTTTTTTTTTTTTTATGAAAATAAATAAAAATGAAATGGTGAGTATGTATTCCCTTAGGTATTATGGATTAGTGATTTTGTTTTTACTGAACTGATTTAAACTGGAAATTAATCGTTACACACAAACGTACAGAACATATGATTACAAAAAGTAATCCAATCAAGAATTAGATAAAATGGCAGATCTCTTTGTTCACACTATGTCTAAGTCGGTTTAATTCCAACAACTTTTGAGATTCCACGTGAGCAGGCTAAAACTCGACAGAATTGTCGATCAATCAATAAAAATTACTGAGACGTTTATACTTATGTAACTTGCTAGTGCTTGTTTATATAAATTTTTTATCGTAGCTTTAAAATATTAATACAAACTCCGTGAATAGAATTATAAAAAATTCTTACTATATATACATTTCTAATCGCATTGTACAGGTTTGTTATATACCCAGAATTATACCATGGTTTTTAGCGAATGAAGAATGTAATACATTATGTTAAAATGATCTTTTTATTATTAGCTAAGTCAAAAAGTATTTAACCTACATTTAGTAACTACTACTATTTTTACGAAATTGCTAGTAGAAAGCTAGATGGTATTTACTATCATGTAGTGCAGTTTTGATTTTGCTTGTGGAAACTTTATTCGCTTAATTAAACGATTCTTTTTTAATAAAATACATAGTGTTGTAACTTACGCTAATGCCACATTCGGGCACGTGAATGAATTATCACACCGCGTCACACCCTCCATGTTTTATATAATTTGAAAACTTTTTTTTTAGGGCGTGAACCTATTTATTACTCGCTATTATTCACGGATGTCACCCTCACTTGTGGGTGATATGTAAATGATTGCATGCGACCAGCTTACCTAAAAAACTGCCTTAACATCTTTATTTTTTTAAGCAAACTCTGTAAAAAAAAAAAAAAAATTATTATCAACGCAAAATAAATTTTTTTATTAAGTTATCACAAAATATGAGTTTTTTGAATTTTTTTTAAATTTGATATCACATTATTATTTTTTTAATTCAAGTAACGAATCCTAGCATGTAATGGCATTATTCGATATAGCTTACCTTCTTTGAACAGCACAGCACTAAATTATTTTTGCACATATTTACACTACACTATTTAAAATCAACCGCCTATTTTTGTTCTTTTAAGAATACAAGTGCTTTTTAGTTGTATTTATAAGATTAAAAAACGATGTACAGTATACATATCCTCCAAACTTACATGACAATTTCAAAATCTAAATCGACATTACGCAGTAAAAATTCCCAAGTAAAATATTTCTTTCATTTTTTTTTTTAAAAAAAAAATATATATATATCAAATTCTATAGTTTTCGGTCTAATCGAATGCCGATCAATAATGTTACCGATCTTTTAAATTATACTTTCTATTTAAGTTAACTTTAATGCATTTAAATCTTTCATTTTTTGTATATTAGATCGCGAAATATTTTCTTAATGTACTTCAATTATCAACGCAACATAATAATGTTGGTCATATAATATATGACAGGGTCTGCCATTTCATCAAAAATATGTGGATTTTTTGAACTGTATGCAAATGCAAACTCAAGTAAAGTTACTTTATGTGCACTTACAACCTTAAGTTATATATGTAATATTTTTTAAAAAGGTAAATTTATTAATGAAAAATTGAAGTTTGTGTATACACAAAAACATTCTATATGATACGATAAATGCCCTTTTATATATAGGAATGAAAATTGTTATTTGTAAGTAGTATAACAATAAAAAAAAAAAGATATAATAAATGAATAATGTATAAACACTCCGAAATGTAAGTTAAGTAAAAGGTTAATATTTTTTTTTCTTTATTAATTATTAAAACAAGTTGTTTATACTGAGAGATGATGATTCTTGTCATATTGTATTTATCAGCTAAATTTTTACAATATTCAATATAAATAATAAAATATTATAAAATTTAAGGGTCATATTCACGCAAAAAAAAAAAAAAAAAAAAAAAAAAAAATACAACCGTCCGTAAAAAAAAAATTAATTTTTTATATAGGTTCCCGGACCTAATTTTCTCAAACGACAGCTGGTAAATAACAATTAAATGAAATGGTCCCTTTGATTCAGGTTCTTCCTGAAATAAATTTAACAAGTTATTCTGTATTAAAAGTCCTTATTTTATTTTGAATTATCCAAATTTACTTCTAATTAGAAATTCTTTTTGTGAATTCTTGTAAATAAAATTTATAAGGTTAGATTAAAAAAAATATCATATAGAATTTTTAAAATAATCAAAAAAAAACACTTAATTATGCTTGTAAGAGTTGATTAACACGGTAATAACCTTCATTTTGTTTCCTTTTATAAAAAGAGGTAAAAAAAAATTATATTTTCAATAACGTGGGAACTGCGGCCATCTAATTCGGGCTAAATATACAAATCACGTGGGAGGTGGAAAATGGTTTACTCCCAGTATCACCACAAAGTTTTCACCACGTGATTTATTGGCCGGCATTAAATAACTTGACCGAAATTAACCAAGTGACAAATAGCAAGACAATTAGGATTTTCACTCGCAAAAAAATTCTAGATGGTGTGACGCAGGCGACTTATTATTTGAGGTCACGTGGGGTGAAAAACTTGTTGTAATACTGGGAAGATGTGAAAAATGGGTGAGATGAATTCTTCATGCCAACCACTTTTTGCGAATTTCATAAGAGGTGTAAGAAGAGTTTGCAAATAAAATTATTGAATGGACTTTACAACATTTTTGTAATAAATCTCGTGGACATAGTCTGATAAATTAATATTCCTTTAAAAAAAAATCACATGAACATTATCAATAAAAAAAACCATCTTACGGGTTAAAAATAAAAGCAAATAAAAGCCCTGGCAATTTATTTTATGCAAAAGATTATTTTTTTAAGCAACAATGTAAGAAAGTAAATGACGAAAAATGCAATAAGAAGCATACTATGCAAATATACATCTAGTTATATTATCAAAATAAAATTGTCTGGTTATTTCATTTAATATAATAAATGTGGTGAGGGAATATACATATCTCGTAAATAACGTTCAAAGTTTTTCTGCTTCAATTCCATTTCAGTCATCTCATCTGCGAAATCGTTAAAACTGGCAACATCATCAAATTTTTTTCTTTTTAAAAGTGGATAATCATCATCAAATTCACCAATTCTTTGATGTACGTTTTTACTTTCTTGATTAACATGATCTTGAATAATTTTAATTGCTAAATTTCGATATACAAAGGAAATACAAATTTCGTTGCCGTATTCCCAAATAAACTTCCAATAATCATTGAGGTCAGTCAGGACTACTAGCACATAGATTTGGATCAATAATTGGCCAAAACCAGCTCTAACTGAGATTGATACCTTCTGGTGCGTCGATGGTTCCTATCTTTTTCAGTTCAAATAGCACTCGAGCTCCATTTGCTTTTTGGCCTATAGCTTTTGAAAAGTCAACATTTAACATTGCAAGATCCGTTGCACCCTAATATTAAAGGGAAACTATGGCTTGTCTGTGACAGTTAGAAATTGTTAATTATCTTAGGCTTAATACCAGTTGTTAGTAAAGATATGAGATTAGATAAACAGCCCTGCTCTTATATTCCAAAGCTTGCTTATTTTCATTAAGCTTCATGTTCAAAGTAAATGGTTCTGATGAATTTATAATACCTTGTTGAGTTTCTCAAATTATTACATTAATCGTAAGTTGCAGGAGATTTTTAATCTCATTTATATCTGTGGAACCAATTTTTGATATGTTTATAGACTTGACCTTTTTCAACTTTACAATTATCTTTTCTTGATCTGCCACTAATTTTTTATATCTTGCCTCTAATTTTTCTTGGCTTACCTATAATTTGTTCAATCTAGTAAAAATTGCCAGATCTGTCATAAGCAAATTATTACCGGTGGTTTCAATAATGTTAACCATAAGAGATGCTGTCAAAGTTCTCATCCATAATATGATCTGGATTAACAACTTTACTGCCTTATTGTAAGATAATACAATTAATATTCATATTATCAAAGTCGGGTTTTAGGTCCTCCTTAATTTGTATTATCAAGTCATTCACGTCTTTTTCACTGAAAGAAATTTTAATCGATTGGAAATTTTTGTATTTAATCCATATATCATACATTATTAGAAAAGTGTATGTGAAAGCAGAAAAAATTATATGAAATGAGAGAGATTACGTGATGTGTAAGAGAGTAAATAGAATAAAGTTTACATATTTATATATCATATATTTTATGACATATCATTTTCTTATCTAAACTATAGACTACAAATGCAGTATTTCACAACGTTACGTGTGTAGTACAGAAAATATTTATAATTTGCAAACTTGACCATCGATATCGTCCTGGCTTAATTATTGATATTAATGCTACAATAAAAGATTTTACCTGTTGAATCATAAGCTCGCCTATTTCATTAAATATCCCATTCTTTTTTATTCCAAAGTCATTACTAACTGAGCCAGGAGCTGTTTTCGAAGCTGATTATTTTTTCTTATAGATCATATCGAGCATTCCAAGATTATAATACAATTTAATAACATCGTTATTCGAAATCTCAGCCTGACCTTTCATCTTAACAATGAGAAAAAGTTATCAATACTACCTTCCATTCCTGTGATATTTTAGAGGATAATTCCTTGATTAATTTTCAATATGGGAGAATTGTCTTTATTAACTGGCTTCTTGGCTTTCTCCAGAGATATCTTTATGTCTTTTACTTCATCCACGTCCATATCTTGATCCTCTTCTGGCGAATTTATCTGAAGTTGATTGCTTATTCTCCTAATTAACGATGAAGTACTTAATTGAGAATCTCATCTAGAGCCTATATCAGATGTTCAGAAAGAGGAATCCTCAATAATAACTACACTATTAGTAATAGAATGTATAGTCTAAATTTAAAAAAAAGATATGATAAATAACAGACTTCATAATGAAAAGTTTGGTTACCAGTAAAAACTACTTCAGAATTATTAGTTTCTAATTTCGAACACATCAAAAACAATAAAGGTAGGATTTTAAAGCCAAATGCCTTAGAGTGATTATATACGAATAAAATATAAAATTAATAGTAGTGTTAACACTTCTACTAATATTCTATTAGTCACACCCTATCTAAAAATTAAGTCTTTTATTAATAATATCAAATGTGACATTCAGGCTAATTGAATGGGTAACTCCTAAAGAAAATATAAATTTATAATATTTCAAAATCCTAGTTGTGGTAGTTCTAGAACAATTGTGCAAATATCTTTAGATGAAAATATTATTCAGGATTTGAATTCTATTACTCTTATATAAATACTCTTGAGTAGTATTTCAGTATATTATACAAAAAACTGTATATTTTAAAGATCACATAGGAAAAGATCCTAATGAAGAATTAAGAAAACTTGATTCATGAAAATTTTAAAGTTTCGTCTCTAGAGAGGATTCAATTGCCAATGGTTTTAATCTTAAGAATCTTTGATGCAGGATATCTCAGAATCTCTCAAGAAAAATATCTTATTCCCATTTGATAACGTTGCTTTTTACACAAAAAAAAAAGGAAAAGAATATATGAACCATATTGATGGAGATTCTACAACTATACGAGCATCAAATTTTGAATAGTATATATAGAAAGAAAATATACAACATACTAATGTATTGGGCTTGGAAATACAACAGATCTTCAAAGATAAATCTTTTCGAATATTTTCATCTATTCATATCAGATTAGTATGTCAGGATTTTAAGCTCATGCTGGAAAGTATTGCTGGGAATATGTAAATACAAATCATTAGCACTTTGAGGTGAAATATCACTATATTAACGATATTGGCACTTCTATAATATCAGAAAGCGATGAAATTTTATTTTTCTGATGTATAGATTCCATATTATATTTACATATACATGTTTAAAAAGATAAAGCCGGATATTCAAACTAAAAAACTACTGTATAATAATAAAATAATATTTTGATTAAAGGGATAGAGGTTGAAAAATATATTATAAATGACGGTATTTTTTCTTGCCTAAAGAAAGATCAACTTTTGCGGTCAGTATCCAGGATTGGTACTTTTACTAAACAAATACGTTACATTTCCCATTTTAAAATTCCCGTATTGGTTAATTATTTTTAATCCTATACTCAGCGGTAGTGTCATCATTTCTATTAAGAACAACCTTCAATTTATCAGATTCTTTCAAAGCTTCCTTAGCTTCGGTTTTCCTGGAAAATTAGTCTCAGGTGAGACGTATTTGGTACAGGAAGCAACAACGTCATCAGGATGAGCATAAATGTCTATTCTGTTAAATTCATTGGCGAAAGTGGTAGGAAGACCAGACGGAGTATTACTAGGAAAATTTTGGTAACAGTCATATCTTGTATTTGACTGTTAGATACATTAAGAAAACATACCAATCGCTAGTATATGAATTAATTCTATTACTCAGACTTATCATATAGAAATAGCACATCTGATTGATTATCAGTTATAGATTATCATTGCTCACTTCCAGATATTTAAATAAACTCAAGATAACTGGTGAGTGAAAAAGATTTATTGATCTGTCAGATGAACATGTTCATTAAATAATTACGCATGTAACTTAACTATTATACATAACGAAACATGCAAAATTTGATTTTGAATCACATATCATTAATAATATAACACGGATAAGTGAAAGGATATATCATTTATACATTGGAACATTTCCTAAGTTCTGTACTATAAATATTTTACCCATAACGAAATCATCCCTAGATTTTTTTAATGCTATAAACAAGTGTTTGAATGCTAGAAAGAAGAGACATCCTATTATATGGTCTTTTGAGATCTATAATTATTAAAGTTTTATAGCAGGTCAATGATGTTTTGGGATTCTGCGATCATTTTATCAGTTCGTAGAATATGCGAACAAAAATTAACTTAATTAATAAAAATGAACAATGTAAAGTTTGCTGTATTTTTTATTCAAACTGTTAGTAATGATGTTAGGCTTTACAAACATTAAAAATTAAATTTTTTGATTCTTATTTGTCGAAAATATCATCTCAGATCCAACCGTTATTATATTTTTTGAGCTTTATTGTTGCTGTAGACATTCTTAAGAGAAATAATTATAAATTAAAATTTCTTTTTTTTTATATACATTGTTATACGTTGCCAATAAATTAATTAATCAATACTATACCATGTTGGAAAATGTTTTAATCAAAGACTTAATTTGCCAGAAATATGTTTTTTGTTAACTCTCAAAGTTTTACTTAAAAATTGACAAGTCTTCTTAGTAAAGTCTGCTCTTTCATATATGCAACATAACGAATTTTATGTTTAATGTAGAAAAAAAAAATTTTTTTAAAAAAATCATTTAAATGAGATTTATTAAGTGATCGTTAATATCAAAAGTGATTGTAAATCTAAAATACAGTGACAAAGATATGTATTAAAATCATGTGCCTTTAACGAACTTTTGAATCACTTTCTTTAAAATAATCGAACGAACTTTAAAATTTCCTGATAATAATGATATGAATGTAAAAGTTATCTTTTTTTTAAAAAAAAAAGTATATTACCCAAACTGGATTATGAACTAGTGTATCAGGAATATAATAATATTATCGAAAGTACAGTCTTCGACGAAAAGAATAGCGGTGGAAGACTGCATCTATTTTAGGCTGCGGTTTCACCATTTTCCGGATTTAGGCACTTGTTTATATTCCCAAATCGGACATTGGAATCTGAATTAAAAAGGTAAGTTAAAAAAATAAGGTTTGTTATTTGTTTTTATTTTGATT